AATGGAAAGGACTGGAGGTCGCATTGTGGACGAGGGGGAGGGGATGGCGTAGGGCTAGTCTCCCAGGTGTCTGTTTACTCGCAGTAAATAGACGCCTGGGAGTTAGTTTTCTGACACCTACTGAGACCTGTTACATAGCACTAGATATGTACCTGGGAGTTGGTCGATTGGTGTGGATGGCATCCTGGGCAGGACCTAAACAAGGACTCAGTGGAGATAAGCCACATTCCTAGCCTTCCTTCGATTACTCTGGGTTATTAATTAATCCTAGCAAACAAACTAACATCTCCTTCAACCATCAGACGAGTTCTCCTACAAATACATCATGAAACATCAACTGACCTCCATATGAATTACCTAGACGATTATACACCAAGACAACATCAACACTTTCATACACCATGGTAAAATTCCTTCTTTACAAATCAATATCTGCCTTTTCCTCAGGGAAATGCAGTATACCACAGTCCAAGTTTTATCTGGAAGCCGAGCAAGATGTTTGAAGCTATACGGATGCTATAGTCACAGAGTATTCTCTCCCTTTCTCTCCCTCTCCCTCACACACGACCAGTTGGAGTCACACATCGCCTGGGAAATGAGAGGTAATCTGGTTTGAACCAAGGAAGGAAAAGGGTACCTTCATTTGACTACAGCAAGAGCCCTTCCCTGGCATCAAGACAGACACCTCCCTCCCCTTCAAGGACAAGTGCAAGTAATTAAATAACTTTGCTACATATACTGGTGTTTATGTCGTGGTTTCGACATGGTGAGAATATACTGAGATAAACAGTGTCCCCGAGGGATTCCCTTCCCCAGGGCTTCCATCTCAAGGTTATCCCGCCTCAGCATGTTTTACAAAGATGAAAGCTGTTATCCTACCTCAGTTTATTTTGCATGGGGGTGTTACACAACCACAGCTCATTTTACAAGCTTAGAGCTGTTATCCTACCACAGCTCATTTTACAAGCTTAGAACTGTTATCCTACCACAGCTCATTTTACAAGCTTAGAGCTGTTATCCTACCACAGCTCATTTTACAAGCTTAGAGCTGTTATCCTACCACAGCTCATTTTACAAGCTTAGAGCAGTTATCCTGTTACGGCTAAATCCAAGTCTAGTACGGATTTTCAATTCGTGTTATGGCACATGATACAATCCCTAGGGTTATAGATTGTAGCTACTAGCCCAGAGTGTTAGAAACCCAGACTAACTAAAACCACTATGTCTGGCTTATGAAGCTCCTTTGATCCTCTTCTCCAGGATGTGACCTCCAGCAGACTCCTAACACCCAGGTACTTATTTACGGCTAGATGAACCCAGACAGGCGTGAAGAGACTTATCCATATGTCTCGTCCTGGCCTGAATCAGACCACGATCCTTATGTTTAATGTAAATGTGAGCTACCTTTCTAAGCTGGCCCTCCTGTGTTTCTTAATAACCCTACACTGGTGTTGAAATATACCTCATACTGCGTGTGTACTCAGCCAGTTGTTTTCAGGGATCGAGATTCAGCTCCTGGTCTTAGGGATGCCGACCCCGGCCCTGTGTGCCAGGAGCACAAGAACATAAGAACGAAGGAACACTGCAGAAGGCCTACTGGCCCATGCGAGGCAGGTCCAAGTCTCGTACCGGCTTAAGCCAATGCACCCAACCTAGTCACAGGGCAAACTTCCTGTGAATGTGAGATTATATTTAGGATACATGTTTAAGTTTAAAGTTTTAAAATGATTTAATGACAAGCTGGTGATCTGATGACAATTATTATCATTATAATCAAAAGGAAGCGCTAAACCGATCTGATGACAAGGTAGTGTTATCTGCGCACATTACGAGGCTTGAGCCTAGGATAACCCAGTAAAGTGAAATAATGTAACTTATGTAACTTATTGCCTCCCTGGAGTATACCTGGAGGGTGTTCCGGGGGTCAACACCCCCGCGGCCCGGTCCATGACCAGGCCTCGTGGTGGATCAGGGCCTGATCAACCAGGCTGTTACTGCTGGGCACATGCAAACCGACGTACGAACCACAGCCCGGCTAGTCAGGTACTGACTTTAAGTACCTGTGCAACTCCTTTTTGAAGACAGCCAGGGGTCTATTGGTAATTCCCCTTATGTATGCTGGGAGGCAGTTGAACAGTCTTGGGCCCCTGACACTTATTGTGTTGTCTCTTAGTGTACTCGTGGCGCCGCTACTTTTCATTGGGGGAATGTTGCATCTCCTGCCGAGTCTTTTGTTTTCATAGAGAGTGATTTTCGTGTGCAGATTTGGGACTAGTCCCTCTTAAGATTCTCCAAGTGTATATTATCATGTATCTTTCACGCCTGCGTTCCCAGTAGAATAAAAACAAGAAGATGAAAAGGACGAAGAAGGGGAGAATGTTTTATTCGAATTACAAACGAGGAGGCGTAATAGCCCATTATATAACCAGAAAGTTACTCAGTCTGGCTTTGGTTCTCTTCCCCAGGATGCGACCCACAAGAGTGTGGGGGGTGGGGAGGGGGTACTGGTAGCCAGGGTGAGATTATTGTACTCGTGGGTAAAGCGCTGAATTCATGAGGGTCATGCAACCCCTGGGAAATGGAAGGTAATCAGGGTTGATCTAAGGGGGAGCAGGAGTACCTCCAAATTCTTGGATCAAGAGACTTTCATTATCATCATGAGCCCCTCGCCCCTTGATGGGAGGATCAGATGTGGAAGTGATACATATACGTACATTATACTGATTCTTCTAATTTTCCTTTTTCTTAATTATTATTCTTCTCTTCGTTTTATTCTTTTAGTTATCATTGTTGTTGTTTTCGTTTGTTGTTGTTGTTGTTGTTATTATTATTATTATTATTATTATTATTATTATTATTATTATTATTATTATTATTATTATTATTATTTGCAAAAACAAATGCTAAACCCGCACGGATCACGTAATGAGGGAAAGCACACTTTGGTACAGTCTCATACACATGTTGGTACAGTCTCATACACATGTTGGTGCAGTCTCATACACATGTTGGTACAGTCTCATACACATGTTGGTACAGTCTCATACACATGTTGGTGCAGTCTCATACACATGTTGGTACAGTCTCATACACATGTTGGTACAGTCTCATACACATGTTGGTACAGTCTCATACACATGTTGGTGCAGTCTCATACACATGTTGGTGCAGTCTCATACACATGTTGGTAGTCTCATACACATGTTGGTGCAGTTTCATACACATATTGGTGCAGTCTCATACACATGTTGGTAGTCTCATACACATGTTGGTACAGTCTCATACACATGTTGGTACAGTCTCATACACATGTTGGTAGTCTCATACACATGTTGGTGCAGTTTCATACACATGTTGGTGCAGCCTCATGCACATGTTGGTAGTCTCATACACATGTTAGAAGTCTCATACACATGTTGGTACAGTCTCATACACATGTTGGTACAGTCTCATACACATGTTGGTACAGTCTCATACACATGTTGGTAGTCTCATACACATGTTGGTAGTCTCATGCACATGTTGGTACAGTTTCATACACATGTTGGTAAAGTCTCATATACATGTTGGTAAAGTCTCATACACATGCTGGTACAGTCTCATACACATGTTGGTACAGTCTCATACACATGTTGGTACAGTCTCATAAACATGTTGGTACAGTCTCATACACATGCTGGTACAGTTTCATACACATGTTGGTGCAGTCTCATACACATGTTGGTAGTCTCATACACATGATGGTAGTCTCATACACATGTTGGTAGTCTCATACACATGTTGGTAGTCTCATACACATGTTGGTACAGTCTCATACACATGTTGGTACAGTCTCATACACATGTTGGTACAGTCTCATACACATGTTGGTACAGTCTCATACACATGATGGTAGTCTCATACACATGTTGGTAGTCCATACACATGTTTTGGGACAGTCTCATACACATGTTGGTACAGTTTCATACACATGTTGGTACAGTCTCCTACACATGATGGTAGTCTCATACACATGTTGGTAGTCTCATACACATGTTGGTACAGTCTCATACACATGTTGGTACAGTTTCATACACATGTTGGTACAGTTTCATACACATGTTGGTACAGTCTCATACACATGATGGTAGTCTCATACACATGTTGGTAGTCTCATACACATGTTAGTACAGTCTCATACACATGTTGGTACAGTTTCATACACATGTTGGTACAGTCTCATACACATGTTGGTACAGTTTCATACACATGTTGGTAAAGTCTCATACACATGTTGGTACAGTCTCCTACACATGATGGTAGTCTCATGCACATGTTGGTAGTCTCATACACATGTTGATACAGTCTCCTACACATGATGGTAGTCTCCTACACAGTACAACAACAACTGCTCACTGTAATATAACCCACTACTTCGATTTTTTAAGTCAGTCTGAATATTTCCACCCGAATCTGCTGAGGAGTTCAGGTACTAACTTATTCTCCAGTTAGAGCGTGTATTGTATGGTTAATTGCCTTTCCTGTGCACTCGAATTTTTTTCGTATACATTAGTCTCGATTAGGCATGGAGACGGCTCAAATAGCCCAGACAAATTTTTGAAAAAGACAGTTTCAGAGGAACCTCATTGAGACGTTTCGCCTGTGGACACAAGAATATAAAAAGGAAGGAGCACTGCAGCAGGCCTACTGGCTCGTGCTAGGCAGGTCTAACTCGCACCCATTCGTGTATTTTGTTAAGCCTATTACTCAAGGTTCTAGCTTCAGAGAGGCTACACGGGAGTTTGTTCCACTCATCCACAACTCTCACCAAACCGCTGCTTTTCTTATATAATTTCAAAATATAAATTATTCCTCCTTGTACCCACTGCTTCGAGTCTTGGTAATATATTTGCAGCACCATGCTTATATCCCCTTTATTCCTGTCTCCCATTCGCATAACTCTGTTTTCCATTCGCATACTTCAGTCATATCCTCCCCTAATTCTACGTTTTTTTCCATAGAGTGCAGACTCAGTGCCCTCAGACTATTATCTGGGACTGTAGGGCTCGTAATTACAAAATGTTCACTTCACCGAAACCAGAGAGTGACATAGACAGAGGACTCATCCTTAAAAAACAACTCACACTACAGGTTATGTTATACCCCCTCTCCCCAGAAGCCAATATTACATCTAGCCTCATCAAAGACTTGAACAAGAATAAAGACAACCGCCAGGACCCGGACAACGCAGGTGTGTATATTATTCTACGTGGCAGTTGTGACCAGAAATACGTGGAAGAAACCTCTTGTAGCCTACAGATCAGGTTGAAAGGACACCAGTGTTCTTGAATGATTCACATGAGCAACGCAATGTTATACATAGGGACCAGACTGCACACTTGATGTCTTGGAAGGACATCCAGCTAGTCAGGTGGATAAAACACCACGCTGATGCCTGGAATCTGTGTTAACCAGAACATAAAACAATCCAACAGAATTAAGATGCTTTCATTTTAGCCAACTCCGTAGCACAACTCAGCTTACATAAACAGGTCATGGGAAGAACCGTCTTTCCGGTAGTCCTCCTGCAGTGCTTCTGTCTCGCAATTCACCCATACAGTGAACTTACTGACCCAACTACTCACCTGACTATGATTGTAAGAATTTGCTTGTTCATAGGGGAAACTTATCAATAAAGTTTCTCTCAGGAGTGTGTCCCCTCCATCCCCCTAGATTAGGTTTGCTTAGGAACCATGGATCTGCCAGCAAAAGGCGTATCGTACTACCCAGAGCGCGCATTTTCTCAAGAACGGTTCAAAATTTATAGACTGGGCTGCAGGTATGGACGAAATATTGAGTTATTTTTTCCCCGGTAGTGGGTGTATATTGTATAAGTGCTGTGTGAGGATCATACAGCACTTATACAATATACACCCACTATCCGAAAAAATAATAATAAAAACTCAATATTTCGTCCATACCTGCAGACAGACCGAAAATGTAACAAGAATTTTCCCTCTGGCTCGCAACGCTGCCACACTGAGATGCTGGTAAAGGAAGTTCGCAGCTCCTGGGTCTCTAGTAGCGTTAACGAGCTTGGAATACAGTTCACTGAGGAAGCCTATAACATATTTGACACCAGGGATGAATTGTCTCTGATCCGAGTAATAATATATCTTTATTTCTACAAGTACATGTACAATGTATACAGGCCTAGCTGACATCAATGACATACTACTATATAGAAAATCTCTTGTTATGCTGAGCATTTCGGGCAAATTAGGTCAGTTTTGTCCCGGGATTCGACCTACACCAGTCGACTAACACCCATTACCCATTTTTACTGATGGATGAACATGGACAACCGGTTTAAGTAGGATAACGTACGGTGTAGTGAGATAACGTTGTACGGTTCAGTGGGACAACGTTGCACCATTGTCCCAGGTTCTCCATATTTGTTGAGTTTAACTTCTCTGTGATCAGCTGCACTGCCTTTTGAATCGACACTAAAAAAATATAAGTGTCAGCAGTTTGCCATTCTTCCATGAATATACTGTAATCCTATATTAGGGCAGTTAGCGGGATTGTGGGATGCCAGGGATCTGTTTTCTCTCAGCCGAGCACTCAGCTGTAGCGAAGCTCCTTTTGATGTCGACTTGTGTCTTACATGCTATCCCTTGGAATTTGCACAATTTTAGACACGTAGATGTTACGCAGCTTTCACATTACAGCCAAAACACTGGTGTTCAGTGTAAATCGAGGTAGCAAGGTGGAATTACTGCAGTATCAAGGGTCCATAAGTCGAGACATGTGCATAGTGCCGGAACACAAACTGCTAACTGGAAGTCTCCAGAGTGATGTGCACTCACGGCTGTAATAGGGGTTAATCCTGAAGCTCCTCTTCACCCATCCAGCAAGTGCTAACAAAGATTTATTTTTATTATTATTATTTTACTCGTGCAGCATTAAACCCGTAGAGGTGATATAGCACCTTGGGAATTAGAGGGAATCAGGATTGATTAAAGAAACTTAAAGGTAGCTCCAATCCCCTGGCTCAAGAGCCCTTCACCAGCTCTAGCTCTGAGTCCCCAAAACAGTCTCGGCGACTGCTGGCAGCAGTACTAAAAGGATGAAGATACTTGATCTACTTAGTGTGTGATACCGCCTTGCGTCACAAGCCATGCTCTTACATATGTATGTGTAACACCGTGTTACACATATACATATGTGCTACACATATGTTTTTAGTACCACGTTTCATACATATGGAATACCACTTTACATATATACATAAGTGTGTATGTAAAGGGTGGACAATTGAGTTAATTATTACGGTAAAACTGTAATAATAACAGGGATATGTAAGTTATAATTGAGATTAATTTAATTTTTTGCTAAATACAAGCCAATAATTCATTTTTTAAATACAGGTCATTGTAAAAAAATAATTACAAGCTTTACTTGATTTTTTTTTAAATACAAGCCGATAATTGTAAACAAAAATGAAGACAATATTCAATATTTTTTTTTTAAATACGAAGCAATACTGGACAAAATATATAATCTAACAATAATTTATTTTGTTAAACACAAGCTTATAATACAATTCTTGGTTAAACACAAGCCAATAATTGCTGGGACATTGACTCAACATATACATTTACATATTGATGAGGCTCTGAGGTCACTCAATGGGAAGAGTGACAGTGCTGATGTGTGTTAAGCAGACAATTGAAGGCAGGTGTGGTCCCCACTGGTCCACTGCTCCAGACCTCCACTTACATCTCTGTGGTCCCCACTGGTCCACTGCTCCAGACCTCCACTTACGTCTCTGTGGTCCCCACTGGTCCACTGCTCCAGACCTCCACTTACATCTCTGTGGTCCCCACTGGTCCACTGCTCCAGACCTCCACTTACGTCTCTGTGGTCCCCACTGGTCCACTGCTCCAGACCTCCACTTACGTCTCTGTGGTCCCCACTGGTCCACTGCTCCAGACCTCCACTTACGTCTCTGTGGTCCCCACTGGTCCACTGCTCCAGACCTCCACTTACGTCTCTGTGGTCCCCACTGGTCCACTGCTCCAGACCTCCACTTACGTCTCTGTGGTCCCCACTGGTCCACTGCTCCAGACCTCCACTTACATCTCTGTGGTCCCCACTGGTCCACTGCTCCAGACCTCCACTTACATCTCTGTGGTCCCCACTGGTCCACTGCTCCAGACCTCCACTTACATCTCTGTGGTCCCCACTGGTCCACTGCTCCAGACCTCCACTTACGTCTCTGTGGTCCCCACTGGTCCACTGCTCCAGACCTCCACTTACATATCTGTGGTCCCCACTGGTCCACTGCTCTAGACCTCCACTTACGTCTCTGTGGTCCACTGCTCCAGACCTCCACTTACGTCTCTGTGGTCCACTGCTCCAGACCTCCACTTACGTCTCTAGTCCATACTGGTCCACTGCTCCAGACCTCCACTTACAAGTTACGTCTCTGTGGTCCCCACAGGTTCACTGATCCGGCCAGACCTCCACATACCAAGTTGCATCTCTGTGGTCCCCACTGGTCCACTGCTCTGGCCAGACCTCCACATACCAAGTTACGTCTCTGTGGTCCCCACTGGTCCACTGCTCCGGCTAGACCTCCACATACCAAGTTGAGACTGTAGTTCCCACTGGTCCAGCCAGACCTCTATATACATACCAAGTTGCGTCTCTGTGGTCCCCACCGGTCCACTGCTCCGGCCAGACCATATACCAAGTTGCGTCTCTAACTTGTTACAGTGCGTCAATTTCTATACGATCTAAGAAGCTACTATTGCTAAATTGTTTACGTATAGCGTAGCAGACAAGTGGTAAAAATACATATACAGGTAAAGACCTTTATTGGTGTTTCACCTACACGAGGCTATATCAAGAACAACGTTTCACCTACACGAGGCTATATCAAGAACAATGTTTCACCTACACGAGGCTTTATCAAGAACAACGTTTCACCTACACGAGGCTATATCAAGAACAATGTTTCACCTACACGAGGCTTTATCAAGAGCAATGTTTCACCTACACGAGGCTTTATCAAGAACAACGTTTCACCTACACGAGGCTTTATCAAGAGCAATGTTTCACCTACACGAGGCTTTATCAAGAACAACGTTTCACCTACACGAGGCTTTATCAAGAGCAATGTTTCACCTACACGAGGCTTTATCAAGAACAACGTTTCACCTACACGAGGCTATATCAAGAACGTTTCACCTACACGAGGCTTTATCAAGAACAACGTTTCACCTACACGAGGCTATATCAAGAACGTTTCACCTACACGAGGCTTTATCAAGAACTTGATAAGACCACTAGTTATTTTAAGTTAGATTATGTTAAATTACCAGAGGTTAGCTAAGATTAGCTTAGGCTAGGTTAAGTGGGGTTTTGTTAACGCAAACCTGTTAAAAAGCAGATTTAACCACAAATAAGCTGATTAAATAGTACTTTTTGCAAGGAAATAACCGAGGGTAATCGGGTAACGTTGAAATCTGCACAATTACCACTTGCAGTGTTGTAAATTGTGAGTTCATTACCTTTGTAAATTGTGAGTTCATTACCTTTGTAAATTGTGAGTTCATTACCTTTGTAAATTGTGAGTTCATTACCTCTGTAACTTGCTCAGCTATCAAAACTTTGGAGTCCAGTCCCTGGACCAATTATGTACCTCTGTAATCTTTTGACTACCGCCCACAGGATGGGTATGGGGTGCATAATAAACATATTAAACTAAGTGTGAGGTTAGAATGTTATAGCTAATATATTGATGTAACTAATATATTCATGTAAATGATATACTCGTGTAACTTGATATATTCAATTTATATTGATTTTTATTATTAATAATTATAATTGATACATTTTTGTAATAAATATTTATATAACACAAGGCTATGTACACCAAGAAATTTGTCTCAGTGTATACGCTGATAGTTCAATCCCTATTTTACGGATTAAAGTATACTTGACTGGTGGTGAACAGGTATCATACAGAGTTGATGACCATCGTGTAATCGATAGGCTTTAAACCCAGTTAATCCTGAAACACTGGGTTGCCAACGGAAGTCAGTCAGCGTTTGAGTTTATCTCGTTAATCTTGGATAATTTTAACACTAGATGCTATATAATAAGACACTTTTAAGAATCTAAACGTGTATAATGAACCCGGTTGGTTGTTTCATTGGACTTATTTATAGTCTAGCGGTGCTCAAACGATCGTTAAAACTGCATAATGGTAGTTTGGTTAACTGGGCTGATAGCTTAGTGATTCAAAATATCATTTAGACTACATGATGTTTGGTTGATTAATTGGGCTTAAAGCTTATCGACTACTCAAGGGGTCATTAATGCCTGGGTAATGAATGAGGGATAAATTGGGCATAAAGCCTAGCAATAACTCAAAGGATTGTTAGGTAAGACACATGTGCAACAGTTAGGCAACTTTATTCCGAAACGTTTCGCCTACACAGTAGGCTTCTTCAGTCGAATACAGAAAATAGGCAGGAACAGTAGAGATGTGAAGACGATGTAATCAGTCCATCACCCTTGTAGTCGTAGAATTTGAGGTTGTCAGTCCCTCGGCCTGGAGAAGTTCAGTTCCATAGTCAGGAACTATTTTCTGTATTCGACTGAAGAAGCCTACTGTGTAGGCGAAACGTTTCGGAATAAAGTTGCCTAACTGTTGCACATGTGTCTTACCTAACAACCTGTCGGTATTGTATACTATTTTGATGTTCAACTCAAAGGATTACTGAGGATGCGTAATGTTTATGGCTAATTGTTCTTAAAGCCTAGCGACTGATTAATGAACTTCAGTAAAAACTTACCGACACCTTACGATCACTATAACAGGTATTAAAGTTGTTTAATGACTGAAAACCCGCCACTTTATAATCACCTTAACTATTTCAGGTAACGGAGTTGCAGTGTACTGTGTGGTGACTTGTACCAAGACCAAGCCAGCAGTGAAGGTACTGTTGTGCAGCGTGTTTGTGCCCATTTTGGTGCTGTGCCTGGTGACCAAGCCTGCCCTGGCAGAGATGCTCATGGCTATCCTCACCTGTGATGACACCAGAACGCCCAAAATGTTCAGGGTGGTGACCTCATTGCTATACAGCGGCCTCGCCCAAATGGAACTCTTGTCTATTGCTACTATCTCAGTCGTTAGGTGAGTCTCCATATGATGGAAACGTCATTAAGTTATGATAAATAAAGTGTTAATGGCATGGTAGAAAAGTCGTAGCTGTATGGTATACTCATACTGGGTAAAAGTATTAAACGTACGGTATGGTTTTAATGGTATTAATGGTACGATATAAGACTTAATGGTGTGGCAGAAAAATCTTAACTGTATCGTATACTGGGTAAAAAATATTAAAGGTATGGTAAAGTCATAATAGTAGGGTATAAAAGTTTTAATGGTATGGCAGAAGTCTTAATGGTATGCTAACAGTCTTAATAGCATGGTATAAAAGTCTGAATGGTATGGTAGAAAAAAATATTAATATTTCGCTTTGGCTGGAACTTGATCATGCCATGACTTGATAAAACTATACAATTATACTATTACATTTACAATTACTATACTTTTAAATTTTACATTTACATTTACTATTGCTATTACATTCAAGGTGATCCTCTAAATCCGTAGGGGGGGGGTCATAAAGCCCTTCAAAAAATGGGAGGCTATCAGGTTTGAGTAAAAAATCCCAACAAAATCTTATCATTCCAAAACGTTTAGGAGTCATATGCGAGTGGCAGTAATTATAATTAGTAATTATTAGTAGTAATTATTAATATTGTAAGTAACAATCATTTTCTGTAAACGTTCTAAATTCTTCCATGAATCTCTGTATGCGAAGGTTAGGCCACAGACATTTAGAAATGTTGCTTTTCCTCACTTCTAGGCGTGTGTGTGTGTGTGTGTGTGTGGTGTGTGTGTGTGTGTGTGTGTGTGTGTGTGTGTGTGTGTGTGTGTGTGTGTGTGTGTGTGTGTGTGTGTGGGTGTGTGTGTGTGGGTGTGTGTGAGGGTGTGTGTGTGGGTGTGTGTGAGGGTGTGTGTGTGGGTGTGTGTGAGGGTGTGTGTGTGGGTGTTGGTGTGTGTGTGTGTGGGTGTGTGTGTGTGGGTGTGCGTCCTTGTGTGTATGCCTATATTTGTACGCTCGTGTGCACATGTCCGTGCGTGCGCCCTGGTGTGTGTATGTGTGTGCGCGCGCGCTAGTGTGGGTGTATGATCCACTTAATATTTGTATTTATAACTCATTACAATTGTGACCAGGTGTGGACGTATCAGTGGTTCATTACTTTGTAATTTGCTCATGACTGTAACCATGTATAGGAGTGAAGCTGATTCATTACCTCTGTAACTTGCCATGATTGTGACCAGATCTACCTGGAGTTCATTACCTTTGTAACTAGTTCAGCTATCATAACTTTGGGGTCCAGTCACTGGACCCATTATGTACCTTTGTAATCTTTTGACTTCCGCCCACAGGATGGGTATGGGGTGCATAATAAAGATATTAATCTAAAGTGTGTGTGTGTGTGTGTGTGTACTCACCTATTTGTACTCACCTATTTGTGGTTGCAGGGGTCGAGTCCTAGCTCCTGGCCCCGCCTCTTCACCGGTTGCTACTAGACCCTCTCTCTCCCCGCTCCATGAGCTTTATCAAACCTCGTCTTAAAACTGTGTATGGTTCCTGCCTCCACTACGTCATTTTCTAGGTTATTCCACTGCCTTACAACTCTATGACTGAAGAAATACTTCCTACTATCTCTCTGACTCATTTGTGTCTTCAACTTCCAATTGTGGCCTCTTGTTTCTGTGTCCCCTCCCTGGAACATCCTGTCCTTGTCCACCTTGTCTATTCCACGCAGTATTTTATATGTCGTTATCATGTCTCCCCTGACCCTCCTGTCCTCCAGTGTCGTCAGGCCGATTTCCCTTAATCTTTCTTCATAGGACATTCCCCTTAGCTCTGGAACTAACCTTGTTGCAAACCTTTGCACTTTCTCTAGTTTCTTGACGTGCTTTATCAAGTGCGGGTTCCAAACAGGTGCTGCATACTCCAGTATGGGCCTGACATACACGGTGTACAGTGTGTGTGTGTGTGTGTGTGTGTGTGTGTGTGTGTGTGTGTGTGTGTGTGTGTGTGTGTGTGTGTGTGTCTGTCTGTCTGTGTACTCACCTATTTGTGGTTGCGTGCGCGCGCGCGTGTGTGTGTGTGTGTGTGTGTGTGTGTGTGTGTGTGTGTGTGTGTGTGTGTGTGTGTGTGTGTGTGTGTGTGTGTGTGTGTGTGTGTGTGTGTCTCAACAATCAATATTTGCACCAATAACTCATTACAGTTGTGACCGGGTGTGGAAGTGTGAATTGCTCATTACTCTATAATTTGTTCATGATTGTAGCCATGTATAAACGTAAGTAACCATTCTACAGAATTCATTACCTTTGTAACTTGTGAGCTCATTACCTTTGTACCTAGTTCAGCTATCAAAACTTTGGGGGCCCAGTCTCTGGACCCATTACGTACCTCTGTAATCTGTAAATACCTTTGTAACTTGTCATGATTGTGACCAGACCTACCTGGAGTTCATTACCTTTGTAAATTGTGAGTTCATTACCTTTGTAAATTGTGAGTTCATTACCTTTGTAAATTGTGAGTTCATTACCTTTGTAAATTGTGAGTTCATTACCTCTGTAACTTGCTCAGCTATCAAAACTTTGGAGTCCAGTCCCTGGACCAATTATGTACCTCTGTAATCTTTTGACTACCGCCCACAGGATGGGTATGGGGTGCATAATAAACATATTAAACTAACTAACTAGGCACCTGCAGCATTTTTAATGCTCTTCCTGCACACGATGTGCTTGTCTAGAATAAGAAAAGCTAAGTAAAAACTATTAACAACAACTAAAGCATAATTCATGTGTATACTTACTATCTGATTGGGTTGAGCATTTAGTCCAACAGTTCTTGAGGTAGAGGGCCCATACGGGTTTAGAGCTTCACATAAATCTAGTGAGTGATGGAGTACATTTACATAGTCGTGTTTTTGAGTACGCGTGTGTACATTGCAGAGCCGTGGCTGTGTGGTCGTCCAGGAGACATACAATGACACTGAGAGCCGCCTTACTGCTGGTCCTTGTCATCACTCTCTACTCTACCCTCATGGCTGTGGTCAGTATCGATTTTGTCTCACGTTATATTATCAGAATATTCTCTTAGATATCGTATTTAGAAGCGAGGTGAAAGTTGCATTTCCCAGAGATTCAAGCACAATGCACATGTAACATTTGAACTTGTGAATAAATGTTAATGTTTTTATTAACTTTTCCTGCAGTTTGTCCTCCAAACATGACGTGAGTTTTCACATGCATAACAGTGGGTCAGTTTCTTCACGATGTAAACTGATACTAAAATTCAATACTACTTATTGCCAGCTATACTGTATATTATAAACGGCTTATATCTGGCAGTACGAGAGACATTATTGACAATTTAAACACTGGATGAGGTGCTTACCTCCACCCAAATTCTGAAAACCCGTATCAACTCGACCCTTCCATGTTAACCCCAGTTTCTTATGCCAGTAATATTATCACCTTCCCGCCATCAGTGTGTATGACCCCTATTTGCAAGGGAATGGCATTATTGCTAATGTAAACATGAAACTGTAATTAATACTGACAATGGCACAAACAAACACCTGAGGAAGTGCCTCAGTACTAGGCTATAATATTCAGTTCTAATTTTTGTTGGTTTATTGTACCTTTAATATACATGCACATAGGGGACTTCCTTTCAGTTTGTTGACACTTCTGAACACATATTTTTAAAGAATTACCCGGTAAAAACAAATTTGGCGTCATTATACAGGGTCTGCTGGGTTCGTTGACTCTGGGTTACCTGGAGGGTCACCAGGTGAGGCGAGGCACCAGTGTACTCTATTTTTTCCTAAAAACAATGCTGCCCTTCCTGGTCACTGCAGTGTGTTACGCCTTCATGATGCATGCTGTAAGTATCAATTTATATCCTTGCAACTACTTTTGCCTATATATTATGATAAATTGTTTTCAAATGAAAATACAAAGTTATATTATGATTACCAATCAACAAACTTATGACACTATAGAAGTAATCATAACATATCACTGTATGTACATATGTGTCTTCGTAATGATGTTGTTCTCTGTATTACAGTTGTATCGCAACCATCGACGTCTGTCCAGCATTCAACACTCTTCCAACGTGAACAGAGTGGTTGACCAGGCAACACGGGCCATGTTGGCAGTCTTCATCTGCAACCTCCTCTTCGGCTTCCCTCACTCGGTCTTCCACCTCCTGGACAAGCCATCACACACCTCAGATATTCTATGCCACATCCTGTTCTATACTCACTTCATCGTGGATCCGGTCGTGTTTGTGTGGTTCAACCGGAGCTACCGTCATCGCATTGGGGAAGGTGTGCGTGCGGGTGTGGCCTGTGTGACACAGTGTTTTCCCCGCACCAAGAGTGTGCCCTGCGCCACACCGAACACCACCTCCAACAACCTGGCCTCCTATATAGCATCCATGGACCAAATATCTTCAATAACCAGTCAGACAAAGTGAAGATCTCCACTGATAAATCTGAGAGGCTAGATCCAAATGGCGTAGTGAAGGAAAGACACAGGTTACAGAACAAACTTTTATTGGGACAACGTTTTACTCGGTCATGGTAAAACAGAGTGAAACATTGTCCCAATAAAAGTTTGTCCCTTAACCTGTCTTCTTCCCTACTCAGACAACTGTGATAGAAGCTGTTAAGCATATTTACCTGCATATTTCATAATTGTGTATAAATGTATCAACGACAGCTACCTATTTATTGCTAGGTGAACAGGGGCAACGTATGTAAGATTTGCCCGTACGTCTCACTCTGCCTAGGATTCGAACCCAGGATCTTTTGGTTGTAAGCAGGACGTTTACTGCTTACGTAATGAGCATATAATAAGTTTGGCACCACTTCAAGAATGTTGACCATCATCTTTACTCTAAACTGCTCTCCACATACAATTGTGTAATGAAAATTTACGTGTCGTGAAATGAAATCACGTATGCTTCATTTAGGATATTGTACAGAAAGTTTCACCCACTGGAGGCTTTTTCAATCCCTACCGGGCGAAACGTCTCTGAAATAAAATACCCTAAGTGCTCCAAGCGTGTTTTTATTTAGCAATTTTGTCGGTATTGACACCTAGTATTTGTATAACGTACGCATCGCCGATCTATTGAACTAGTGAAGGACTGACTTGGTGGGTTTTATACGGGTGAATTAGGAACTGCGGTACAGTCGTGTCATCAACTGTGTTGATGGGTAAACTGTTCCAAAAGTTTATTACTCTTCTGGAGAATAATTTCACATTGTCATTCTTACACTGCGGCTTGACGAGTTTGAAATTGTTGTTGTTTATTGTATATGTTGAACCTCTTGGAGGTGCTAAAAGATTACATTATGTAATTTGTTCAGCATCTTATGTCTCTCATGCCTCACTTGAAGCATGTTATTATTATTATTAAAGATTAGCCGGTATTCTCCCGGCCCGGGCCTTTTCCAAGTGGTGGCCCGGCCTTGGCTCCCTCTTTAGGGAGTGTCTGAGACCTAAGTCTCCCATGGGAGGAGGCACAAGTACCTCCTCATCTTTGGGACCAACTGTCCCCAGGCTTAGCCACAAGCTAGGCCTCTCTGGTCTGCCATCCCCGCCCCAAGGGGGCAAATGGGAATGACAGTCTTATGAACTAAAGGCTCGGGCTCAGGCACCTACCCTACCCTAGAAGGGTTAGGCATGGTGTCGATCTTGAAGCATGTATCCGTCGGTCTATTATGGTTGATGAACAGATTTACTTTCGATCGGATTATATATATTATATATATATATATATATATATATATATATATATATATATATATATATATATATATATATATATATATTATATATATATATATATATATATATATATATATATATATATATATATAATATATATATATATATATATATATATATTATATATATGTATATTATATATATATATATATATATATATATATATATATATATATATATATATATATATATATATATATATATATATATATATATATATATATATATATATATATATATATATATATAATATATATATATATATATATATATATATATATATATAATGTGGTTTCAATTTTTTAACTATTTTTGATTATTGTGAAAAACAAGGTTGTCTCCAGAATTGATCCGTGACATTTTACTCACACGAAATTATTTAATTCGGTTTCTGTTAATTTTTTTGACGGATTTCTATTTTCAAGTGTCTCATCCATTGTTTCATTGATGCTAGACTGTTGCCAGCGATCTTATTACATTAAACTTTTCTGAGTCAGTCTTTCATGTGACATATTGTAAAGAGGCAAAAATGTATTATCTAAACAATCCACAGTAGGAATGGGGTTAGAACTCACGGCACGTGAGTCGCAAAACTCCAGGCTGGTACGCACTGGCCTGGAGTTTTACCACTAACACGCCATGGATTCTAACCCCACCCGTACCGTAGTTTGTTTACAGTCGTTTTATTAAGAGTTATCATCCGATTATAATCATGGGAAAGCACTAAAACCGTACGGGTGAGACAGCGCCTGGCGAATATCAGATTAACAGGTTTGGTAAAAGAAAAGGTAGGGTAGCTTCGATTCGTAAAATTAAGCATCTTTCGCCAGCATCAAGGCGTTTACACTTGAAGAGCTGTCATTGTTGAACAGCAGAGGTAAAATCAAATTTTAATTTCTTTGAAGACGGGTCTAGTGTACCGTATTGTTAATTAATGCTGCTTGTCACACAACCAGCCTAGGAAGCCCAGTCGATACATGTAGAGGATCTGATAAATTCTGAAGTCGGAGTGGGATGGTGAAGGCAGAGTGACTGAGACACCTGGCACACAAATGAATCCCAATGTCACACTGCCGACAATTGTCAATAAAAGACGCAAGTTGTAGAACGAGTTTTTCCTGGAACAGTGTTTTGCACAGTGTAGGACTTTGTCAAGTCGTGAGTTAATAAAGGTCTATGTAGAGCTATGTGATGTCCCAATGAAAGCCGCTTCCGTAACGTGTCTTTTGACATAGAGTGAATAATTAAACAGTCTGTATATCAGAGCACACCCCACCTTACATATGTATGTCTGTTTTTTCCCTTTCTAGTTCCTCTGAAATGTGTGTGAACACATGAAAACGCTTAAGTATTTTCATTCATTTATTTTTCACTATGGTAGTTTTGCATAATTGTGATTAAACATTTAAAGTGAGCATTTACCTACTGAAGTTAGTAGGCTGGTAGACAGTAACCATGCAGGGAGGTACTACTGTACTGTAGTAGGATGGTAGACAGTAACCATGCAGGGAGGTACTACTGTACAGTAGTAGGATGGTAGACAGTAATTATGCAGGGAGGTACTACTGTACTGTAGTAGGATGGTAGACAGTAACCGTGCAGGGAGGTACTACTGTATAGTAGTAGGATGGTAGTAACCATGCAGGGAGGTACTACTGTACAGTAGTAGGATGGTAGACAGTAACCATGCAGGGAGGTACTACTGTACAGTAGTAGGATGGTAGACAGTAATCATGCAGGGAGGTACTACTGTATAGTAGTAGGATGGTAGACAGTAATCGTGTAGGGAGGTACTACTGTACAGTAGTAGGATGGTAGACAGTAACCATGCAGGGAGGTACTACTGTACAGTAGTAGGATGGTAGACAGTAACCATGCAGGGAGGTACTACTGTACAGTACTAGGATAGTAGACAGTAACCATGCAGGGAGGTACTACTGTACAGTAGTAGGATGGTAGACAGTAATCATGCAGGGAGGTACTACTGTACAGTAGTAGGATGGTAGACAGTAACCATGCAGGGAGGTACTACTGTACAGTAGTAGGATGGTAGACTAACCATGCAGGGAGGTACTACTGTACAGTAGTAGGATGGTAGACTAACCATGCAGGGAGGTACTACTGTACAGTAGTAGGATGGTAGACAGTAACCATGCAGGGAGGTACTATTGTACAGTAGTAGGATGGTAGACAGTAACCATGCAGGGAGTTACTACTGTACAGTAGTAGGATGGTAGACTAATCATGCAGGGAGGTACTACTGTACAGTAGTAGGATGGTAGACTAACCATGCAGGGAGGTACTACTGTACAGTAGTAGGATGGTAGACAGTAACCATGCAGGGAGGTACTACTGTACAGTAGTAGGATGGTATACTAACCATGCAGGGAGGTACTACTGTACAGTAGTAGGATGGTAGACTAACCATGCAGGGAGGTACTACTGTACAGTAGTAGGATGGTAGACAGTAACCGTGCAGGGAGGTACTACTGTACAGTAGTAGGATGGTAGACAGTAACCATGCAGGGAGGTACTACTGTACAGTAGTAGGATGGTAGACTAACCATACAGGGAGGTACTACTGTACAGTAGTAGGATGGTAGACAGTAACCATGCAGGGAGGTACTACTGGACAGTAGTAGGATGGTAGACTAACCATGCAGGGAGGTACTACTGTACAGTAGTAGGATGGTAGACAGTAACCATGCAGGGAGGTACTACTGTACAGTAGTAGGATGGTAGACAGTAACCATGCAGGGAGGTACTACTGTACAGTAGTAGGATGGTAGACAGTAACCATGCAGGGAGGTACTACTGTACAGTAGTAGGATGGTAGACAGTAACCATGCAGGGAGGTACTACTGTACAGTAGTAGGATGGTAGACAGTAACCATGCAGGGAGGTACTACTGTACTGTAGTAGGATGGTAGACAGTAACCATGCAGGGAGGTACTACTGTACAGTAGTAGGATGGTAGACAGTAACCATGCAGAGAGGTACTACTGTACAGTAGTAGGATGGTAGACTAACCATGCAGGGAGGTACTACTGTACAGTAGTCGGGTGGTAGACAGTAACCATGCAGGGAGGTACTACTGTACAGTAGTAGGATGGTAGACAGTAACCATGCAGGGAGGTACTACTGTACAGTAGTAGGATGGTAGACAGTAACCATGCAGGGAGGTACTACTGTACAGTAGTAGGATGGTAGACAGTGAACATTAAAATGGTATAAAATACCGACAGGTTGTTAGGTAAGACACATATGCAACAGTTAGGTATCTTTATTTCGAAACGTTTCGTCTACACAGGAGGCTTCTTCAGTCGAGTACAGAAAAGTTGATAGAAGCAGAAGAGACTTGAAGACGATGTAATCAGTCCATCACCCTTAAAGTTTTGAGGTGGTCAGTCCCTCAGTCTGGAGAAGAGCATTGTTCCATAGTCTGAAGCTCGACTGAAGAAGCCTCCTGTGTAGGCGAAACGTTTCGAAATAAAGATACCTAACTGTTGCATATGTGTCTTACCTAACAACATGGTAGACAGTAACCATGCAGGGAGGTACTACTGTACAGTCACATGACTGAAACGGAAATCTGTTACACGTTCTTCAACTGATAGACTTGCTGGTCCTTTCTTTCTATTTCATGAACATACGATAGATTACTCACGAAACCTTCTTACATTCTGTATACATTTTTTTTTTAATTTTCGTGTGTTCCTTAACTTGTACTTCTGCAACATTTCCAGTTGAAAAAAAAATTAGGCTATATTACAGATGTTCATTGTTTTTAACCATACAAACACTCAATTAATATATAAGTCCTAATACTAAACAATCACTGCTCAGTCTTTTATTCCATTCGGATTTTTTGACCACTATGGTACCTCCTGTATGATCATGACTTCCATATTCGCACTGATGGGAGAGATGGTGAACATTAGAGTAACCTCATACATGTTGAATATGACACCTCGTCTTACTGAAGGTGTTGAATATGACACCTGTCTTATTGAAGGTGTTGAATATGACACCTGTCTTATTGAAGGTGTTGAATATGACACCTCGTCTTACTGAAGGTGTTGAATATGACACCTGTCTTATTGAAGGTGTTGAATATGACACCTG